AGTAGGGACCTTATTGCCGTCAATAAAACTTATTCTTTTTCGCGTTTTCTGTTGTTTAAGTTGCAATAGCCGTGCTATTTTGGCTCAAGTCGTTAACCAGTGATGAACATGCTCAGCCACTTTCCAATTGGAGACGGCAATAAGGTCCCTATTAAAGTCGTTTCCAGCTGATTTCTTCCTCGTTCGCCTCACTACTTACTATTAGTACCAGTACTTCTGTTTTCTGCTGACAGCCAAATTATCGTGTCTGCTGCCTTCAAGTTCACGAGTGAATTATGAATGAGATTGGTCGTGGTTAAAGCATCACTCGTGACCATTTGAAAAACACTCAATATAAAATGAATAATTTGAAATTCTTATGGTAGCTCCATTGCTTTCTCTAGAGCGAGTAAAAATGTTGTTTTGACTGTACGACTTTGACTTTTAGCGAATTTGTGGAGGGGAAACTGGGTCTTTTAGGTCTACAGGACATCTAATCTGCCGAACGCTCTTTTCCCCACACCAAAAGTCTAAAGAACTTTTATCCTGTCTTTCCTTTTCCCTCAGTGGAGAGAATGCTTCCAAAGTGGGAAGGCTTCCTGTGAGATTACTTCTTTTGGGAGATGCTTGAAGCGAATTCACAGAACTCACTTTGTTCTCATCAGTCTCTGTGTGCTAATGAAATTTGTGGCGAAGTGTTTTCGTTTTTTTGAGCAGCACTTTTATTGCAATTTTGATTGATTCGTGCTTCAGGATGTCCTTGTCAAAGAAAAAAGAGGACGAAAAAGAAAAGAAGTTCCTCGGTCGACTCTCCTACAAACTCGATTACGATTTCGACAAAAATGCGGTTAGTCTTAAGTATTTACTACATTGTTGATCAGTACCCAGTGCAAAGAATAATGAAGTTAGGCGCTGTTCTGCTTGGTAGGGGCATTTAGCATTTTTCTCACAATTTCATTGCTTTGTTCTGCACGTCCATTAAAGGCAGTTGGCACGATAAACCCCCAAGACGACTAGGATCAATACTCCTGGCAGGATAGAATTCCGCGACCCTGGGCAGGCGCTGCATAGCGGTTTCCCCGAGGAAGGTGCCCTTATAAGGGCCCGGTCAAGCCCACAATAAAAAGGCATTTAAAGGAGTTCACATATCAGCAAGTTTTCGCAGCCCAGACGGAGGACATGGATACGAGTACCAGGGCGGAGGATACCCAAGATGTTCCTCTATAAGCAGGAGCTGGCGCTCGCCCATCACCTTCATGTACACCAAAATATGAAGTCATCTCCAGCCGCAACCTGACTGGAGAAGACCTTCGGAATTCATGTCACCTCCGAACAGCTGCGAAACTTCTAGTATGGAGTCACCCATAAATAGCTACCTGGAGAGCAGTACTCTCGATCTGGAAAACCTCCATCATCGAGCAGCTCCGTCACGTCGCTACGGTCTAGGACATCATCTTCACCTCAGTCGCCAAGGCGCCAGTTGATGGTGGGGACCGGACGTACCTGGAATGGAGAGACCGATATTTTCTTCGTGGGCCCCGGACTAAAGGTGAGCGCTGGCGGTTACATTGGGCAACTCGTGAAGAATATCCTCCTCACATGTGGTCGCCCGTACCTTCTTGGAAACTTTGTACTGCTACAGCATTGAGTGCCACCACATGAAATCGAAGGGCGTTGGAGAAACTCTTGCCTACTTGTAATGGAAGGGCGTTGAGTACCTGAAGAAGGTGGAATATCTAAGCAGGTAACCTGACCTAAACCCCCTCAATTACCTGGCTCGGGCGGAGTTCAATAGGGTGGTCTACAGTGGCGGAGAAATCAACGATCTCGCTGAACTCACGCACCCACTGACGGTCGCGTGGCAGAATCTCTCGATGGCGCTCCTCCAGAAGGCTATGGCGGAGTATCATGATAGTATTTAATATGCTTTTATAAAGTGTAACTTATAGCGCCTCGAAAGTCGAGGAAGAAAAAAGTTTTTTTGGCCCTTTATAGGGCCCTATCAAGCCACAACATTCACGACCCAAACGCCCGCCACGCCCGCCCGCCCACAAATGGACGACCGTTCCTGACGCTCGTATTCATTCATTTGCTAAGCAAATTATGAAGCGAAGGGATTGGTATGAAGCGGCCGTGATGCTGCATGGATATATGAGTACACATATGCAGCCGTACCTTCGGTAGCGGTTATTGGCAAGATGCCTACGGGAAACTCGTCCAAAATTGATTTCTAACACATTGAGAACGGAGGCTTTTTTCGCAGGATTTTGACCGTTTCACTCCGTTCTTTCGCCATTTCCCCACTATATAGCGCCCTATCAGCATTTTGGGCCGAGCACCAAATCATCGTGCCAATTGCCTTTAAGCGCCTATACATTGGTGTGAACTGTAGACCCTAGTAAAACTGCGGAATAGTATAAGTGAGCCATTATGCTCACAGAAACTTACAGGTCTTACTTACTTACCTTTACAAGATGGCTTGAACTAGCTCCGTAATGTACATAGCGGTGACAATTTTTGATATCTGCAGCTCCATATACTTACAACTGGCCGCTTCTTTCTTAATTACTAGCATAATGCTCCTGGAATTTTAGAGTCTGGGGAATGGGAAAATTTGTTCCGTGTACTTCAAGGCAAAGTTCGCGATCACAAATGGTGGACAAGTGAGCTCGGATGCGAAACGAGTAACTGAACAGTGAAGAAAAAAGCAGAAAAAAAAACGTCTGAAATGTCCCATGTAGGACTCCATGCTGATCGCAACTTGTATGTGCTATTTTATCTTCTCACCTCACTCTCACCATTCGGAATGGAGAGAGATAGCATAGTGGCTACTAGCTAGTAGCTAGCAGCCGGTGGGTCGGCATGGGCCTAAGGGGTGCTAATGGGCCTAAGTGTTGAGCTTCCGCCGGAATTCTTGCAAAATTTCGTTCTTTGAATGTTGTACAACAACCGCAATCGCCAGCTGGATCACCGGACACATTTGAGAAATCGAAGCTATAGTTTATGGCGGAACGTGATTTAAGATCCCTTATAGGCTGCTTCAGTAGAACGAATTCAATAGTAACGCTGCATGCATCGATCAGCAGAAGGTAGATGCATCAGTCTTCGTCGCAGGTTAAAATGGTGCCCCTTATATTCCAGGAAATATGGTACCTTTCCGCCGGTATTGTCAAGGAAGCTGATTTATAGTTGTGAGACCCCCCCCCGTTCTTACCACGACTCATTACTGAGACAGCAACCTTTGGGGCACTTTATGTTTTTGCGGTCTATCAATAATCCAATAAAGAGGGAGTAGAGAGGGAGACGACATTGAGTGACGAGTGGGTCTTTGGTGTTAGCCGGCTGATTGCTAGCTCGTTAGAAAACACAATCGCATGATTAGGCTCGACTTTCCGTCTTTTCTGCGCACTTGACAGTCATGAAGAATTGCTGGGGAGCAAAGAATTCCAATGTTGACTTGCAATATGCAACTTTCTAGGCTCTGATTGTGAGGGTGGGGGCAATTTGTATGACTGAGGGAATTTCGAAGTTCACGTTTTCCACACAACATGGAGGATAGAAGCGTTGTTTAGAGTGCGTCTTGGTTTCGCTAATGACTTTTATATAGCGAGCAATAATATACATTATAATTATGGTTTATATAATTAATCAATAACTCTCATATATGAGCGCCCTTCAAAGGACCAGTACACGCTGATAGTGTGGGCGGAATCAGGTCCATCATAGAAGAATGCCTTATTATAGCCTTTGACCATTAGGTGCTGTTCGCCTCGGAGCGTTTGGAGGGTCGGAGAGGGCTCTGAAAGACCCCTCGGGCAAAACTGCTGTTATGTGAAGGAACTGAGGGTTTGCCTGATTCAAATGCCCCCTCCCCTCCAAAAGCGAACAGCGCTGCAAATTATTTCAAATTATTCATTAGATGAAATAGGGAGCTCCTCTTTTGCGTAATTCTTGTTTTTAATGGATTTTTCTAAGCTCATAATCCAACTTGTCAGCTCGCCAGACATAGTAAAGCATCACCAAGAAGCATCACGCAAACTCATTGGGAATTCATCAGAAACGCTGGCTCGGTTCTCTCTACCAAGGAATAACTGCAGGAAAACAAATTTAGGGCGCTGTTGTCGACGGGGCATTTTGTGTTATCATTGCTTCCCTAGTTCCGGTTTACAAATCTCACTCTGGTAAAACTTGTGAACTCTTGTTAAGCTGAAGTAAGACCGTCTAGCCACTATTATTAGGTTGTCCGGAAAGTTCTCAGCGTTTTGTGCACCTATTTTTTGTACATTCACTGCTGATTAAAAACTCATTCTGCCTTGCTTCTCAGTAGCACATCCTGTAGAGAATTTCTTGCGCTATCTGATGGTATAATTGCCGTTTCACCATTGCTTGATAAACCCCTTTTTTCAAGATTTTTTCAAGCATGTGAAAAGAGCACTTCGGACGATTTTTTCTTCGACTATAAATTGGGGCAATCCGCAATCGAAACAGCTCAACAAATTAACCAGGTGTGGGGGCCCAATAGTGCTAGAAAGCACTGTGCGGCAATGGCTCAACAAATTTCGTTCTGGAGATTTCAGCCTTGAAGATGAACCTCATAGCGGTCGACCTAAAGCAATATCTGACGAGGATTTTAGGGGATTTTGGAGGCTGACCCATCCCAAACAGTTCGAGAGATAGCAGAAGCTAGGCGTTGGCAAATCCACTGTTGCAGATGGTCTGGAACGCATTGGGAAGGTGAAAAAACTCGACAATTGGGTGCCCCACAATCGGAGTGACCGGCAGGAATCGGCACGTCTCGAGGTTCCTTCTGCATTGCTTTTGCGCAGCAGAAACGACCTGTTTTTGGACCGAATTGTCACCTGTGATGAAAAATGGGTCATGTATGATAACAGGAGACGTTCCGGACAGTGGTTGGATTTCGACGAACCACCGAGGTAATTTTCAAAGCCGAACCCTCACGAAAAAAGATTCTGGTCACGGCTTGGTGGTCATCGGCTGGTGTGATCCACTATAACTTTTTATCACCAGGCCAAACCATCACAGCAGAACCTACTGTGAAGAAATCGACGAATTGTACCGAAAATTTTGTCAGATGCAGCCAACACTTATCAAAAGAAAGGGTCCGATTCCTTTGCATGACAACGCCCGCCCACACGTTTCACAAATCACTATCCATAAATTGAACGAATTGGGGTTGAAGTTCTACCTCAACCGCCATATTCTTCAGACCTTTCACCAACCGACTATCACCTTTTCAAACATTTTCAGAACTCCCTTGCTGGAAAATACTTCATCAATCAGGACCAGGCAAAAAACCTTAGTGGATTTCGTGAATTTTCGACCACCCAGTTTTTTACTTTGATGGGATTTCTCGACTGCTGTCACATTGGCAAAAGTGTGCTGATTCGAATGGTGCTTAATGGTGATTAAATGCCGATTGCAGTGTTAAGGAAAAGTTATGATCGTTAAAGCCTAAACAGCCCAAAACGCTAAGAACTTCACGACAACCTAATAACAACCTGTCAACTCGAGAAACGGCTGCCTATAAGGGTCGTCACATCATTGGAAAGCAAAATGCCACCCCGTCGACAAACTGCGCCCAAATTTAGGGAGCACAGATCTACAGTGGTTTGTCCATTCCATCATTATATCAGAGACTCACAGGCAAAACGCTTTGTATCGGCTTTCAATCGAATCTTATCAATAACATTTTGGCATAGGCCTTGGTCTCGCTTTCAGAGAGCAGTCCACGCTGATTTTGTGGGCGGAGTCGGCCCGACTATTGTGTTTTCTCTGTAGGAACGTCCCGCTCCTTTCGTCGGCTCAGAAGGAGTTGTCGACAAGAGGAGCACCAATGTAGTCTGATTCCGCCATAGACTGTGCCTTCGAATGAAATTTGAGAACAATAAGGTTCAGGGTGTCATCAAAACTTGCATTTTGCTTTTTGCGATGAGAAACATTTCGCTGCCGATGTTTTCAGTATTGCTATTCCAGTTAACGGTGGTTATTATACAAGCCGAGGAGCTACCGGCTATGGATCTCGGCGGCACATCGGATCCTTATGTGAAACTGTTTCTTCTTCCTGACAAAAAGAAGAAATTCCAGACGAAAGTTCAGCGTAAATCACTGAATCCTGTTTTCAATGAAAGCTTCACCTTCAAGGTCAGCCTTTTTACTTGACTCATTTCCTTTAGCTATTTTCGGTTGTACTCAGTTTCCTTCAGTTACTAAATCAGTGGGGTTGATAAAAAAGGGCGTAGTTCGGCGACCGGGGGGGTGGATTTTTCTTCGCATAATGTGTCGACCCATCTAGACAGCCTTTTCTTGAGTTGACACGTTTACCATGGTGGCTAGACGAGCTTGCTCCAGCTTCACAAGAGTTCACAAGTTTCACCAGAGTGAGACTTGTAAACCGGAAGTAGTGAAGCAGTGAAAGTGCAAAATGCCCCCCCCCCCTGTCGCCGAACTGCGCCTCAACGTCCTGTGACTCCTAGAACAAAATTTCAGATAATTTATCGAATCGACAGATTATTACTAGAGAGTAGGGGCGGTCCTGGTGGAGTAATGGATTGCGTATCGCCCGGTGTGCATGAGGTGCGG